CCCCAAAACCCCAAAACCCCAAAACCCCAAAACCCCAAAACCCCAAAACCCCAAATGGGGTGTAAAGCATTGAAAATTAAATAGAAATGGGTGAGAGAATCTCGTTTTAATGCTGCACTTCCACTGAATTCAAAGCAACAAGCCCATATCGAGACTTGGGAGCCTATATATCTCAAATCAGGGGAGGAGGATTGTACTTAGGTACATTCAAAGCATAGCGTGATTATAATAGCTTCTTCACCATTCAATTTATTTTGAAGGGTCTGCATTACATTCCCATACTTGCTTTTCTCCAAATTCTAAATGAATTTTTATCCAAATGGTTTCCTTGATAGACCAATTATAATGCTTTTTGTGAATGTACCCACCTACAAAATGTATGCCCACGGATGTTTATCCACTTTTTGTCAAACTTCCAGTGATCAGTTTGATAACTGAGAGTAGACCCTTAATTCTTAATACTAAACCTTATTATTTTCAGGTATGGTTGGACTATACCAATCCTTACTCATCAGGACCTGGTAAATATTTTCACAAATATTGAGATTATAAAGTCCCCAATGATTGTTAATTTTACCACGCAATTTTGTTAAGTAATCCTAGCATCAAACATTCTCTTAGCATAATTCATGGAATGTTCCCTGAGATTATCTCTAATTCGAGATAATTTTAAGAATATGTTAAGATTTGAAAAAGAGTGCTCAAATTTTTGAAAAGACTAGAGCTTTTCATAATAATTTTTATGCATAAACCCCCTGATTTCAGCGATCTACATCGAGTAAATTCATCCCGAGGAGTCCTAATTCCTCCAAAAATGGCCAGACTTCACTAGTCCTGCTGAATTAGTGACGCTTCGTTTTATTTCGTGTTAAATATTATATAAATTTGGTTAAAAACTATAACAGCGTGTTATTAACTATTTCATGAATTTTGAATATTTTCATAAAAATGGTCGGAGTCCTATTTTAGCTGTTTTAAATCCCAGAGGCTATAATATTATTGTACTTATAATATTCAAATTTATGTAACTGTGACGGCTTTCAAACACATTAGTGGTAATGTAAAACTTATTTCAAACTTCTCGTTTTTAAGTAAGAGAATTACTGAGCTTGTCTAGAAAAAGTTCAAATTTGATATCCTTTCATTGCATGCGTGTAAGTAAAAATTATTAGTAATGCAAAAGGCATGGTTAATGCTAAATTTTTACAGTAGACTAAATTTTTGGTTAAAATAGTGGTAAGAGAGCTTAATTATGCTAAAAGTTATAAGATATGATCTTGAAAAAGTCAGGTAATCATAAGATCTACAGGAATATGGATTACATAGAGATCTTTCGGGTTGGGAAATTTTCATAGGAATATTTCCAATAACATTATGTCTTAAAAATTTATTAACACCCATTTATCTCAAATTATACCAGATTTATGGTAGATTTAGGCGAAAAAGTGGAGAAAATTAAAAATTTAAAGAAATATTAGCAATCATAGGCTGAACATGCTTGATAGTATATTTAGCCTAGTAGGGTCTAACATTCTATATACTATTTACTACTAATTTATCTGTCGTTAATGGAGGGTATCATTAAGAAAGCGACCACTGATGTATTGTAACTAAGCTGCCTAAGAATTCTCGAAGCTTTGGGCTATAATCCTTTCATTGGGAAAATGACAATCTAAGGATAGTCGATGAACATAAATCGACTGCTCTTTCATAGCTTCCCTCTAAATTTTGGAAGGGTTATAAAGTTTATAAATTATTGATTCATTAGCCAAAAAATTAACTAATTTTGAAGAAAATAGGTTGTTTCTTCTATGATTTATTGAAATTAGCCCCATCAATATGTTCAAACCGTAAAACCTATGCAAAACTTGAGAAAAATTATTGGATGAAATTTATAAGAAATTAAAATACAATCTGTCTCTCAGAAGAAGCTCCTAAAGCGCCTGAGCACATTTATAGGCACTGTTTAATTCCTAGGTGCAGTATTTTTCTCTTCTTTCATTTTGGAAAGAAGAAGAGGCGACTCCATCACTTGTTTTTTCTGACATACCATCTTCCATCAGAGCTTGTCCCTTGGAAGAGATCTTATTTTCTGGAAGTGGTTGACTGGCCTTGATAAAAATTGATCTCCCTGAACTTTATTTCTCATATTAACATGTTCATTGAAGGAGTTGCAGATCCTTGTCGAACATTTAGTGTCTTTAAGAGACACTTTTTTTAATTCAGACAACATCTGAGACAATCTTTTAGTGTCTTCGTTCTTTCTACCTTCGAACTTCCTGGCGGTTGTGATATCTCCTTTGTTGCTTGCAAGAGTATTCTTGAACTGGTTGGTCTCGTTCAAATGATGCAGACCAACAGGGGAATTATATTCTTCATCAACTACTCAATCAGCATCTTTCCAGATATCAGTAGCTTGACTCTTTGCCATTTTGTAAATATATTATTTCTTTATCATCAAAAAATTTGCTCTTAATAGGGGTTTTGGGGTTTTGGGGTTTTGGGGTTTTGGGG